TTGAGATTGCAACGTCGATGGCAAGGAAAATGTTGAACACGTCTTCTTCTATGCTCCAAATTTGAAAGTAAAAGAAAGATCTTAAAACTGGAACTTAAAAATATTGATATTCCTGATGGGGCTCCTGATTTTTATCAGTTTCTTCCCGAGAGAAGTTTTTTTTTGACTGTTTTCGAAAATTCATTGTAAATTATTCTAATCATTCGTAAGTTTTTTCCTTTTTACTGCTTATTTCTTTGTATTGATCATTTTTACTTCTATAAGCTTAATGCGATACTTTGTGGAACATGGCAGTTTTTTATACGTTGATTAAAAAAAGTATGTGTTAATCTCGTAAATCAATCAGTAAACCTACTTATAAACGTAACGAGCCGCTCAAATGGTACAGTGACTTGCGTCACTGACTGTCGTGCCCAAGGGCCCGGATTCGAATCCCGGAGAAGAAATTAATGTTTGCAAATGTCCTTTCGAGAGATTGTGGTAGAAGAGAGGTGTGGGAGATTTTCGGACCCGTCATCCCCCCCGGGGTGCTCTCCATCATAACTGAGGGCGGAACTGAGCTAAATCGCACTGACTCCTGCAAGGTGCTCAAAGCTGTTGCCAACGACAAGCGTCAAATTGCGCTTCTTGCTACGAAGAATTTCGTGGGCTTGGGCTGACTAGGTCAGACAAATGAGCATTTGTAACAACAATAAACAAAATTTTCTTTTTTTGTTTTTAGTAGAAATTTCGTGGTGATCGCTTTAAGAACAAAGTAAATGTTCCGCTGCCGATTTTACGGCGAAATACTGGATTCCTGAAAAAACAAATTAATCGTATTATTTCCATCGTAAGCAAATCCCATAAGTACATATTTTGAACTTAACATAAAAAATATCAGAATTTGTCTGTAAAAACCTTTGGAACTTGGAACATAGCGAAAAGATCACATATTAAATTGGCGACGTTGCTTATTAAAAGTGAATTATTATATGCCTGGGTACCAGAATTTAGCACATTCTAAAAATTTGGCGATTTCTTTTTTAAAGTGGTTGCTAATATACGTAGTATAATCTGCATATATATGCAGGGTGAAAATTTTACTGCAATGCAAATTTTTGTAAATATTAATAATATATATGCAGAGTGAGAGTACGAAAGTACTGAAGCTGAGATAGACGCACTTAAACTACATATGCACATCCTACTTAATGTATATAAGTTATGTACAATATAACACAAGTTATAACGTATATGTACGTTACATGGTCTATACGACTATATAACTTATAACACAATGTATAAGTTTAATATAAAAAATAGTTGTTTTATTTTATTTATTTATAAGGTCATATTAAGATACAATATAGTATACAAAGCAAACTGAAAATGATTATTATTATTACAAGGTGCCTATGAAGTTACGTTATACTTAAACTAGAAAGCCCGGTGATCATACGAAATGACCGCTGTTCTAGATATTATAAATTGTAATTAAAATGATTTGTGCAAAGGCGTCTGCTAGTTTAAACTGAATTACCCAGGGTAGGCGGCGAGGACGCCCCTTTGCTTACTGCCCCACGGGATTTCCCCCTTCTACTTGCTTAATTGTTTAAAGTAGAGTGCAATGAAAGAAACCACTGGCGGTACATTTCTTAAGAGCCACCGCTAACTCAATAAATAAAGGTGATTTAAATAATAAAATGTTAATTCACATGTCAAAGATCTCTCGTAAACAACATTTCTTGTGTAGATCTTTCCATCGTTTCTAAGCTCGCCGTGCAGAGGACCATAAATTATTTTTAATTTTACGTTAGTTTACGTTTAATTTAGAGCTCTTTCACGAACTCTTGAACAAGAAACATAAAGTTGACCGTGTCCAAATGCAGGCTAAGTTAAAAAAATGCCAACACACTTAAGCATTTGACCCTGAGACTTACTGATAGTCATAGCAAAGGCAACTTCACCCCATTGCCTAGTACAATAAACTATCGGCGATAAACAGACACTTAAGCAATCGCAAGCAATCAATAAACTATCGGCGACAAACAAACACTTAAGCCTCATGGTGTGAAGTAACAACATGGGGTGAAATGACATCCTCTCCTCCGTAACGGCTGGCTCCCTGGCTTAGCGAAGCACACCGTTGGATTCCGCAAGTCCGCGGCACGTCATTTTGACCATTCGCGTCTTCTTGGGACTTTAATTAGCCGAGATATTAATTAAAAACTAATTTTCTCCTACTTTTTCCATTCTCTTTCTTGGGTTTTCCCTATTAGAAGGATTTGGCTACGTGCCAAATTCTTTTCTCTTGTATATCTACGGAACGGCGCCGAGTTGAAATTCGAGACGCGTATCCTCGGATTCCAAAAAAATTTCCGAATCCATCTATTTCGTTCTCATCTTCGTACGACTTTAATCGGCCGAAATATTAATTAAAATCTGCGGAAACGTTAATTCCCGCACTCATTTTTCCGAGTGGCAACAATAAACTATCTGCGACACACACTTTAGCAGCTTATATATATAAAGATTTCTATGTGACATTATCATTGGAACTTATTCGGGACGAAATGAATACTCTCATTAAACGGCAGAGTTGCCAGTTTATAATAGAGAATTCACTCAAACGTTAAAACCGTCAATTTATTAATAATCCTGTGTACATAATTTTATTCTCCTTTTTTATACCTCTTTGACAGATTCAATTTCCCTCAAATTTCTTTTACGAAGCAATGACGTCGTAGTCATATAATTTTTATGTGTTTTACTGCAATGAAAATTAGTCAATATTTACAGAAATATAATTTTTTTTTCAAAACTTAAAATCTTCAAATTCAGAAATGATATGTTTAGCAAAAATGTAAATAAACTTACCTCCAGTATACCATATATTGTTCTTCAAACAAGAAAAGAATTTTTGGAAAATAAATTTCCTCGCTTAATCAGAGATTCTTCAAGGTTATTTTTAATTTTTAATATTGAAAGTAAATGAGATATGTTTTTTTTCCCTTCCAGTTATTATTTTTTCCTTTACCAAAATTAAGATTTGGATGTCCCGTGATATTTTTGCTTCAAAATTAAGAATAACTTCGTAAAGAATTTAAAAGATAGACAAAATCTAAATTAAAATAAAAAATTTCTTCCGCTTGAACTGCAGCTAAGCATGTAATAAATAAGCGAAGCCTTAAAAATTTATGAGCATTTAGTTCTTGTAGTAAACTAAGATTTTCCTCTTAGCTGGAGGGAAAATGCTTTTCTGATGACAATAGCTGAAAAGCTTTTATAATCAGTTGAATAGTTCGATAAAAAGCTCAATCATAAATTTCCGGAGAAAAATAAATTCTCTCTTCAGATTTTTCTGCAAGATGACATGCCGGAGGCAATTTGATTATGCTTTAAGAACATTGATTTTTCTTCTATGATTTAAATGGGCAAAAGGGGACGAATTTTATTTTTAAGAATTAAGTATTTCTATTTTAAATTCATTTATTATTTACGAATATCGCTAGGAAAGTTAAAAAGTTAAGTAGCTACATTGAAACTGTCTCCATTTTCTCCGGAATTAATAACAGACTTTCAGACAGGCATACAATTTTTCGATATTAAATCTCTCTGTTTCTTTTGAGCATTGTTTAATGCTTCATTACACCAAACACTTATGATACTTTAAGTATGTATAGTTTAGTTAAAGTATATTTAACTTAGCTAATCATGCTGTAAAGATACATGCAGTACATCAAGATTGATATTTTATAAGGTATTTCTCCCCCCCCTTCTTAGTATGCCTTCGTGGTGTAATGATCAGCACGCTCAACGCGTATTCGTATTCGAGGTACAAGGTTCGAGTCCCGGCGAGGTCACTGCACATTTCTTCAGCTTCCTCATATCAAAATTAACCTAATGTCTATACAGTGGCACACGAACTAAAAAAGGTGTTCGATGATGATTATCCATCACCAGGATTTGGCGATTGGGTCGCCTAATCCCCAGCCGCTCTTTAAAAGGGGGAGTATATAAGGTATTCCTCCCGCCTTCTTAGCATGCCTTCGTAGTGTAGTGGTCAGTACACTTGGCGCGTATTCGAGAGGTCCGGGGTTCGAGTCGCGGTGAAGGCATTGCTCATTTTTCATCTCTCCTGCTTTCAAAAAATAGCTAATGTCTCTACAATTTTTGTTTCTTAACTGAACGTATTACATTCATGGTTACTTAAAAAATGCATTTACCTTTGCCAAGCAGAAAAACACTAATACGTGTAGTAAATTAAGATTTCTGTTTTTGCTCCATTAAAGGTATTTCAATTATGGCAATATTTGTACACACATATGAAGGATTTTCCATTTGAGATTTTATTGGATTTAGATGCAATCTTCAGAATCTATATTTGTTGTCACATTAATGAATCATTAAATTTGAGCTTTTGTTGTAATTTTGCTAACTGCTACTTAACACGTCCGACATATATCATTTTTCATGTCATTGTCCGACTAGAAACGTAATCTTTCCAAGGATTTTTATCAGAAAAATGAAGATAGAAAATTCTGACATTAAGAATTCTGGACAGTATGGTTAAGGTCTCCTATTTAAGGGTGTTCAGCTTTTGTTTCATTTAGTTTATTTGTTCAGCTTTTGCACTCAGCTTATGATGAACATAAGAAATAAACCTCTTTGTAAAGGTTTCTGAAACTTTTTGCATTTATGCACATCTCAGCGTATAATAAAGACATCCACTTGTTGCCATTTGAAGTCATTCAGCAGTAAAAAAAAAAGAATAATTGAAGATTAGTCAGTTTCAATAATAAAATGGAATCTATCAATTTCATCTTTACTTCATCTCAGGTCAATTTAGGCAAGATGCAGGGCCACACATGCAATTACAATTGTAATACACGAAAGCATTTCTGTTCCCGTTTTGAATTACTCAAAAAAAAGTTACGCATTAAAATGAAAAGAAGTTAAATAATTTAACTTCATGCAGGTATATATATTAATTCAGAAAAATATAAAAAAGCAATACATACCACGCAGCCTAAAACGCAGGTGAAAAATTTGAGAATTTTCCCATCTATTGGCGCTGCAGAAGACATAAGCAGTCGAAGTCTACCACCCGTGGCTTCTCGTATAGATTTAAAAACGAATTTGTCCCAAATGCTATTTGTTCCTAAGATAAGCCTAAGAAAAAGATATAAAACCATAATATTAGTCATTTAAACAAAACATTTTTCAATATGGCAAATCAAAGTTACAGTCACCTGAAAAGTAAATGATTCAATTACTTCGACAAACAAGTAGTCTAAAGAATATAAGAATATTTATATTGTCAATGCTCTAATTTATATTGGTATGAAAAGGCCAGCTGCGGTGACATAGCTTCCCCGCAAGGGGGGTAGGGTTGCGAGAAAGTGGCAGGGAAAGGCAAGGTTGTCAGATTTGACGCGAAATCGCCCGTTGGGCGACATTTGGCGACAAAATTGGCGGTATGCCATAGACGGAGTGAGAATATTCTACACTGGTGTAAGAAATTAAGAGAATTTTCATATTTGATCTACGATCTCTAGAACTAGTGGACAGATTTTAACAAAATTTGGTGTGAACATAGGTTGATATAATACAAACACAATAAACATTTAACAGTTATAATAGACACACATGTTCGTGTGTAACACTCATGAGAGTCTGAAGGTCTGAAACAGCGGTTGCAGAAGACAGAAAAAGAAATGGGTTAATAGGGGGTGTGGTCCCCTCTTACAGCCATACAGGCCTCGCAGCGTGATGTCATACTGGAAATAAGGCAGTTTATCAGTGCCTGTGGCAATTGGTCCCACTCATTCAGCAACGCTGTTTTCAGTTCCTGGATGGTTCTCGAAGGGGGTTGCGAGTTACAGTTACCCTCCCCAGAGCGTCCCAGACATGAGGTCTGCAGATCTGGCTACTCAATCCATCCGGCGAATATCCTCTCTTTTGAGAAATTCGCCAACCAGAAGAGCTCTATGTGGCCTCGCGTTATCGTCCTGTAAGACGAACTCGGGGCCCACTTCACACCGGAAAAGGCGAACATAGGTCTCCAAGACCTCATCCTTACACCCGTCACAGTGCCTCTGTCAAAGACGTGGAGAGGTGTGCTGCAATCCAACATGATGCCTGCCCATACCATTACACCTCCACCGCCATAATTTTGATTTCGCGGACATTGGAGAGTAGGTAGAGGGTCCCTGGTTCTCCCCCTTATGAAAGTACGGCGAGAATCGGTGTTTAGGCTAAAACGGGACTCATCGGTGAACAGAACGTTCGCCCATTGCTCCGTACTCCAATCACTATGCTGCCTGCACCATGCTAATCGGACTTTCCTGTCCGTAGACGTGAGCGGGGCGTAAACAGCCGGTCTTCTGGCAAATAACCCTCTCTCATTCAGTCTCTTGAAAACAGTCACCCTGGTTACACGGGTTCCTGTGGCTGCATACAGGTCCCGAGAGACCCGAGAAGCTGTAGCCCTTCTGTTACGCCTCGCTAAAATGGACAAATAGCGATCTTCTCTGGCCGTCGTGGCTCTTGGACGACCTTGCCCAGGTTTCCTCTCGTTGGATCCAGTATCCTGGAACTGTTTACATAGGTGAGATTTGACGCGAACAGAAGACGCCGGGCGTTAAATTAAACTCTCTGCATATCTGGACTTGCGATTGGTCTTCCTCTAGCCTCTCCACGATTCGCCATCTCATTCCATCATCTAAACGTTGGTGGTTACTCATTTTTACTGTTCCGATGTGAATTTAACCGATTGCTGCAAGATAACACCAAGAAGTTCGCCGAGGTGTGCTAGCGAACGCAATTCGTCTTACCTTCTACGTGCTTATAAAGCCTGTTTTTCTACTAGCTCCGTCTACACACACGTGAACGCTTTCGTATTTGCCGTACAAGATTTGAACTTTTATCTAGAAGCAGTGGTTTTTCCTTCAGTTCAGTTCTTTTCATGCGATTCGATAAAATATGCAAATTCTCTTAATTTATTTCACTAGTGTAGAACACATTCTTAGCGGTTTATCTCAAGAATATTCTCGAAGGTAAGTTAAAACTATATATATATAGCCTGCCTGTACGCGGAGTACAGTAATATGCCGAGTTCAGTAACAGTGTTTTGGGGTCAGAGATTAGCTTGACAGCGACTGAACCGAGCCCGGAGCTGTACTTAGTGCTTTGCCGTGAAGCTGTCTTTACAGTTATAGCCTGAAGGCTGTGTTGCTGATTGTTTCAGCGTGTTTATCGTAGTTTTCGACGACTCTAAACGTGTTTTCGGAACTCTCCTGTGTAATACTGGCGAATAAATTGTATTTTGATTCTTCATCAAGGGTTATCGTCAGTTGCACCAAATTCACGAACCCGTAAAACGCAACAATATATTATTTTTATTTCATAATTTGGCTTTTTAAATTTTCATCTGTATATCGTTATTGTTCAGCTAATGAGTAAGCTATTGTTTGATAAAAGTAATTATTTAAGTTTCAAATTTTGATGCTCGATGGTGCTCAGTTTAAGCATTTGTAACATTATGTTTTGAAGTTTTACAAAATAAAACCTTTCTCAGATTTTCATACGCGATCTTGTATTTTCATATGAGTCATCAGAAACTTTACGCATTAATGCAATAAATATTTTCAGTAACCAGAAAGAGACTGCATCCTTTTTCTAATACTAGCTAAATTGTTTGTCCAGCCTGCAAATTAATCATATTACTAATACCATTAAAAATTGAATATAACTACGGAAAGCGAGCCCAAATCTCAAAATCTTTATAAATAGGAATTTCAGAATAATTAAAATCTGAAACTGAATATTTTGATAAAATATCTTACGTTAACCTCTATCACAATTCTAAATGTTAATAATCCAGCTTTATGTAAGAATCAGCACTGTAATATCAGAATCAATTTTATATACGAAGCATCTACTGAAAGGGTAAGGTTGAGTTAGTTGATTAAGACAAAGCAACTCGAGTACTGTGTGCTTATGAAAGGAGGCAATGCTTTCGTAGAAGACGTTTTAGGGAAGCTGACTTAAATTCATGTTACTCATGGAAAACGCCATGAGAGCTGCAATGCAATCGGCCCGTTTGCTGCAATTCTAGCCACAGTCGAAGTACCAGCATTCAGCGACATTACGGCTTAGATGAGCGTGCGATTTGTAAAAAGATCATTCTTTAAGTGAGCGACATTTTAATAGGGGAAAATGTAAGGAAATTCACCGAAAGATGTCGCATCAAATATTCATGAGAATGCATGAAAATTTGTGAGAATGAAAAGGACTATAATGTGCAAGTAATTAACCCATGAGTTCTTATGTGGTAAGTCCAGTTAGAAACTTGAAAATCTGTAGTTCGAATGCAGACGACGAATCAGTTAATCTTTCTCATCCCTTTTCGATGAGATTTTGATGCACACTTTGTATGTATTCTTTGTAACACACTTTGTAGATATCCCTGTATTTAATAATATGAGCTTTGTGAATAATTATTCTGTATAAAACCTGTTCTGTCAATAAAGAGTGCAAGATTTTTCATATAAAATTTATAAAACTGAGATTCTACAAAATGCTCCTTTAAGTACAATATAATATGTTTTCCTTATTTTTAAAAAGCATCTGAAATTCTTCTCTATGAGAGATCCTGGGAAAAGAGATATCGAAAATATGGCACATTAAACATTATGATCTGAGAGCTTACAACGCCTCTTAACATCTGCTGAAGAAGATATTTTGTTGCTATCTCAGAGTTCTTGACAAAGCATACAGACAACAGAGTAATACTAAAGGAAAGCGATGCCTTCCATATCAATTTCCATCTCCCTTTATAAATGTTTCTATCTACCAGATAACGCAGCACATGCTTGGAATAAATGTTATTTCAGCGCAAAGTATATTAACGTTTAATAAAAATATTTTTTACGTGAAAAATATGCCCAAATAGTTTGAATGGAGTAGATAATTTTGTGCAAAGTAGGAATTATCTACTCATACATCAAATTTAACTTCCCAGTTTATAACAAATGTGCACTTTTCGATTGGTTCCAATCAAGAGAAGGCTCTTTAAAAGGAACTAATAAATAAAATTGCTAACCGAATAACTCAGTTCATTTCTCATTTTCTGATTATAACTTTGCTAAAGTGATTCAAAGACAAATCCGTTCTGTCAAATAACGAAGTTCAGATTTTTTTTAATTTTTACATAATCAAGTAAATCTGTGTTCTGTTAGTAAATTTGCGTTGATTCTAGTAACTTAATATCATTTCTGCTTTACAAAACTGATTTTTAGTTCTGTTATTTTTAATGACTTATTTACCTGTCAATTTCCACTTGTTTCCTTCTCAAAGCGAAATCGAACATAAACTTTTTGAATTTGCTTCGTTTGACTTGAGCATTGACCTGAAATGAAACAAAGATTTAGTAAAAGAATGAGCGTAAAATTGTACATTAAAACTTCTATTTCCATTAAAAATATAACAATATGTCTTACATATATGAACATTCTGAACAGAAATTTATCTTATTTCCGAACTTAAAAATGAAATCAAAAAGATGTACACTTCAAAACCAGCTATTTGAGTAAACTGATCATTATGAGAGGCTTTATTATTCTGTCAATCTAACTATCGTATCTTTATGTACATCATTCTCTGACATCCAGTTTTCTGTATAGTCTATTAAATGAACCTAACTTGTGACAAAATGAATAAAGTCGCTGAGCACTGCTAGTCCATGCAAAGTTTGCCTTATAGCAAGGGTAGTGGCTATCCTCGCTATAAGCATTTTATGGCTTTTTATATATGCAATGGGAATACCAGCCAATGTTTCTTCGAAACTTTCTTGCAAAGCAGAGAACAGTCGTGTGCTTTAGTGTAATAAGTTCACCATCAATTAATATACCTAAATAAAAATTATCATTACTTTATTAATAATAGCTCATTGCTTCTTCAAAAAGCTATTATTTCTTATTAATATCAAAAATAATAAGTTATCAACGTTTTTGCTTCTTGTTTTTTATATTTCATGTTAATATTTCATGTTATCATCAAATAAGCTTTTTAAGGCTTATTTGATGATAACATGAAATATTAACTAAAACAGCGTTAGTTACAGCATTTGAATCATGGCAGAATGAATCATGGCAAACACAGAGACGCGTATTGACATTACGTACTTTTTACTTACGTGTATTGCATAATAATCTAAGCCACAATCAAATTCAAGTCCAAAACCCTTCTTCTTTCCCTCTAATTTGGAAATGTTTTACACCATGAAGTATTTTCCAATATGTTCAGAAAATCCAATTTCTCCCTTCAGTAAAATAATTTTTTCAATAAATAAATCGAAAATTTGGCATTGTCCCTATATTTGACGGGAACTAATTTTTTCGTCTTGTTAATTGCGTGAATACTTTTGTAAACATTCATGAGATTTGGTATCCTGTCATAAGAGCTTATTAAAACTCTACTGGAGTTTTCAAAAATAAAATTTTGACTTTTCCTGTTAAGATTCGTCTACTGAAGTGTTTCTACCATCTACTAAACAGTTTCTAATTTCATCTACTGAACAGTTTATAGAAGGATCTGAATAAGATACACAGACATACTCGTTGACCTCATTCGTAGCTATGCACGTGAAGTACGGTTATAAGGTATTTTCTTCTTCCTTTCTGCATGGGTTTCGTGTGGCGTGTCTGAAAGCCCGCTTGACGCGTATTCGAATCCCGGGGACGGCTCAGACCATTTCTTCAGTTTCCGGGCTTCGAAAAATTCTAAAACGTCTGAACAGTGAACCCCGGATTTAAAAGTTGGCGGATGATAATTGATCATCACCAGGAGTTTACGAATGGGTCCCGTCATTTCCAGTCGCCCTTTAAAAGGGAGAGTGTATACGATTTTTTTTCTCGCCTTTCTGCGTGTCTTCATGTTGTAACTGAAAGCACTCCCGAAGCGCATTCTGAAGGTCCGATGTTCGAATTCAAGTGAGAGCACTGTACATTTTTCACGTTCCAATATCGATATAACCTAATTATTCTACAAGGTGACATTGAAGGGCACTATAGTGACGAAGGCCCTCTTCCGAATATGTTCAAAAGGCTAGTTCTTCGGTTCGACCCTGTTGAATATAGTTTCTAATACAACTGTTCACCTCTTTGACGAATCAGCTCACATAAAGACAACAATCTGCATCAGGAACTTTCTTTAGTAAGCGGACGAAGCTGCCTAGAAACCAGAGCTCAAGAATGCCTGTATACGGTTTTTTAGCTCTGAATAAAAGAACCTAAGCTCATAATCTCAATAGATCAAATTCAGGCTACTGGTAGTTGGATCTAATGGTGTTTTAATATAATCCCGAGAATGAAGTTCCAAAGTAAAACCGTCAGATTTGCTCAGAAATGAAATATCTCGGAATAATGTTAAAAGGCCAGTTTACATGGGGCTTCCATGTTCGCTGTATAAAGCAAATAGTTTTCCAACATAGCAATTCAATACACCATACAACAAGAGACTGTGAAACTGGGAAATATCATCAAGGCTCCTACGTTTATGGTATTTGGCAGTACCATAATGCGGTGCGCTTAACAGAGCTGTGATTCAAATTCTTCTTGCCAAATCAGGCACTACATCAATTCTCTACCGCGGTGTCATCTAATCACCATCTTCAAAACGAATCGCACAACTTCATAGGCAGCGCTTTACATCCTTGCAAGATTACCGCCTTGAAACTTGAAAAGGGAGAAAGAGGTTACATGACAAATGTCACCAAGCTTGACAGAATATACGATTTCGGTGGCCAGACGTATGTACACTGCTCAAAAAAAAAAAAAAAAAAAAAAAAATGGGACAGTCCTATATCTCCCGATCTACTGGGCCGATTGACAAAATTCAAATTGCGTTCTTCATGTCTCGAAAGCGCGACTTAGGATATATATTAGATTTATATATAGCACTATTCTAACATAGGTATTTTGACACAAAATCGGACTTTTTCTGAAATAACATACCAATTTTTTTACATATTTCGATTCTACGACTCAAATTACGCCTAAATATGAAATTTTGTAAAATTTGGAGCGAAATTTACGGAGAAATTCACAAATTTATGTTGCCACTTTTTTGTCAGTTTGCGCCAAGAATACTTCACTTGGCGAACTTCTTAATATATGGCAACCTAGTTTCCTTAGGAAAAAAAGTCACCATCGTTCCTTTTTTCCAAATAATATTCTTTATATTATATTTTTAATTATAACTTATTATTTTAAGTATTTTTTTCTTTTTCGAATTTCATTTTAATTGTTTAAGTTGCACGTTTTTCTTTTTTCTTTTTTTTTTTTTTTTTTCGAATAACTGTTTTAAAAATTTCTATTTACTTATTCGAACTGCGTAAATTAAGGTGTAGCGTTTATTTTTTTTTTCAAATAGTTTTCTTTATATATTTTTTTTCGTCATAGCTATTATTTTACGTCATTTTTAAATTTTTATACTTTTATTTTAATTGTTTGTGTTGCATTGTCTCTTCAGATAATTGTTTAAAAATTTTCTATGTATTCATTCGAACTGAGCATTTTAAATATATTTTAATATCAATTTTCCAGAATTTGATTTTATTTATTTGAACTGCGTTTTTTTTTCGGAAGAATACTTTGTAACCCAGACTACGATGCGTTTGAAAACTGCATACTATATTAAAAGAGAAAATACAGTAAAGCACAGTTTTACACGCCTTTCAATGTTCCGTTCAGAAAAAAAAATATATATAAATAAGAGAGATGTATAACCGATATTTTAACTTAGGATGACTTGCATACACTGCTTTTAAACAGTTTTATCATTGTGCCCATTGCTTTACACAATTTTATCCTACATTTGGTTTCTTAAAATGTTATTCATATTTTAGTTAAATATTTTATTTTTGAAATCGCAAGAATCAAATATCATAAGATTGAAAAGTTTTAAATTACAAAAAAATACGAATACTAAATTTTACGAAAAAATTTATTTTTCTTCTCTGTTTCTTTAAGCATTCTGAAAGTATATTGAAAAGTATCCAACTTTTCGAAACATTTTGGTATTTCTGACAATCATTTTAAATAAAGTTATCGCCTTCCATTTCATAAAGGCCCACAAACGGCCGAGCGGTAAAGTTGCTGAACACTGGTAGTTCACTCCGGGGTTCGAACCCCGGTAAACGGGCTGGTTGCATGGGCGTTTTCGTGGATTTTCTCATGTGTACCGCGTATGACAGCTGGTTTCCCTTAGAAAGTTCTTCACGAAGTATTTCGTCAGAGCCTTTATCAGTCTTTAGAGGCTAAACATTTTGAAGCTATGAGATGAAAGGAAAGACTGGTTTCATCAAAAGGTTTTGGTTTTTTTTATTATGACAAAGCACACTACGGCTATCTGCCTAAGGGGAGGGATGCCTTCCTGGAGGACTTTCTAAGGGAAACTGGCTCGCATACACGTTACACATGGGGAAAACCACGAAAACGCCCATGCAGCCAGCCCGTTCGCGGGATTCGAACCTCGGACCGAACTACCAGTGTTCAGCGACTTTACCGCTCGGCCGCTGTTTCATCAGGAAGGGGAAAAAAAAACATCTTTAAGTGACATCCACATACATCACTGGATAAACTCCTGAATCTTCAAATAATTCGACTGAGGAAATCATGGGATTCACCATTTATGATACGATATGATGTTTTATAACGTAATTTACACAACCATATAGTTTAAAACCAGTCGCTCTTCACTTTAATCTGCAATGATATCGTTTTGTCTTTTCTGTTAACACAAGCTCAATTGATGGTATTTGCTGGTGTACTCGTCCAAGTGTTTTCTCTTTGAACACCTAAATTCTTTGAAGTATCCTGAAAGTATATTCGAAAGCGTCCAACTTTTTGAACATCTTGGTACGTCTGACAGCCAAATTTCCCTGCAAATTTTTTGCTTACTTTTCTCCCTAATTTTCTTCTTTCCTTCTACAGTTATTTTCAGTGCTCACACAAGAAAATTAAGATTTTTCGACTGCTAGACTTCCATACATTTTGCATTCTTGTCAATTTTTTAAAATATCAATTATATGAATTGCGTTTCAGCTAAAGACAGCTTTTCATTTTCTAGTCATTTTAGCTATAAATAAAGTTTAAAGCGAAGTCCAAAGGATAAATATTTTAATTAAAAGATTTTTGCTAAATGACAAAGAAATAAAACAGTCCAGCAGGGTTTATTCTGTACCACAGAGTGACCCGATTCTTATATCGGCTGAAACAATCTAAATCATATTAAAGATCATGTTTTTTTATACAATCTATAACGCGAGAGAAAAATTAGCTTCTTAAAACATGCTTTCTAAGAGAATTAATATAAAAATTTATATTTATATATATATTTTTAAAGTTG